CAGGGTTATTGTATTAAGTGAGATAATACACATAGAGTGCATACCACTCATATATCATAGCTGTCATTGTTCCAAAGCAACATATTCCCACATTGGCACATGATTCCCATGGAGAATTTCTAGAAATAACACCTGGATTTGAAGTAACTGTTGAAAAATTCAGATGATTAGAAGCCAGGACTTGGAGGTTAAGATCTATAATACTCTCCTTGTCTACCCACTACCTCCTCATTATCAAGAGCACTTTTGTCCATTATCTGTGATGGACATTTACATTGTTTCCACATCTTGGCTATTGTGAACAGTACTACCTGAACAAGGCAGTGCTAATATCTCTTCAAGGTTTTTGATTCTTTTGGATGAAAACCCAGAAGTGAGATTGCTGGCTCATATGGTAATTCTATTTCTATTTCTTTTAGGAACTTCCATACTGTTTTCCATAGTGGCTACACCATTTTGCATTCCCACCAACAGTGTGCAAGGATTCCAGCTCTTCCACATCCTAGGCAGCACTTGTTATCTTTGGCTTTTTGACAATGGAATACTTTTCAGCCTTTAAAAACAAGGAAATTCTACAATATGCGACAACATGGGTGAACCTTATACTAAGTGAAATAAGCCAGTCACAGGAAGAGAAATACTGCATGATTTCACTCACATGAGGTACCTAAAATAGTCAAATTCATAGAATCACAGAAAGTGGAATGGTGGCTGTCAGGGACATGGGAAGTTACTAATCAGTAGGTATAGTTTCAGTCAAGCAAAATGAGTAAGTTATAAATAAAATAAAATAGAATAATAAAATAAAATGAAGTAAAATAAAATAAAAATAAATTACTTTTATCAAAGGCATATCACACCCTCCTAGGTATTCTCATAAATGAGTACTTGACAGTGTACCTGCCATCTGAGAGAGTGGACTATTGAGATGGACACGGGTAAGCCACAGCAGTTCCCAAATTCTGCTATGAAAATACCATCTAGTGAGTCCAGAGACTTGGTATCCACCACAGAAAACAGACTTTCACTGCTTCAGTATCATCAACCCCACACCCTTCCCATCCTTACTCTATACTCGTCACACTGGCCCACACTTCAGTGCCTCCAAAAACTCACATTCTCTCTTGCCACTGGGTCTTCACACACACACACACACACACACACACACACACACACACACACACACAAATGGGGTGGGGGTGGAGGGCTGGCATACAATTGGCATTAAGAAAATATTTCTCCGATGAATAAATGGAGTTCTGATTATATTGGGATGGGGGAGTCCAGAATCCCTTCTCTGTGGCTCTGAGAAGTATCCTCAGAGCCCAATTGGATAAGCACCGTATTAGAAGTTGTCTAGGATCCTTCCCACATCTACCAGGCTGTGATCCTACAATAGATTTTTTTAAAGGGATGAAAAGGGAAAAGCAAAGTATCAATACTGGAGATCAGCAAAGGAGTCAGTGCATTCAGTGGGTTGTTTCAGGGTCACTTTCATCTGTTTACATTTTCTGAGTAGAGAATGTGACTGACCATTACAAAGGTGTGAGCATGCATGTTGACCCCTCTTTTCAGTTAGATCATTTGCATTCTGTCAGATGACTTGCATTGTGTGAAGTTAGAGGATATTCCAATGAGATGTACCCTGCTTGGTCCCCTGACTTCTATTTGCCCATCACCATGCTCATGCCCTGTTACTTGCCATCCACATATCTAATCAGTACCCATTTGAAGATCATGGGAAAAAACCTATGGATGTGCAGAAGATTTTTAAGGGATCAGACTTGAGAGCATGAGATCCTTACCAATTTAACCCTAGCCACGAGAGAATTCTCTCTCTGGACATACAAAGAAGCAATGGTGATGAAATTGTGCTCACTCACCTAAAGTGAACCAGATTGGTTACTGGGAAGATGCAGCCTGGTGAGAGGTTTGCATGGTTAAAGAAATGTGTTTTGTACTGGACTGATTTAGTGGCTAAAGATCAGAAACTATAAGTGCACAGGTAGACATTATCTGCAGTTGAGCTTTTTACAACTGTGAATGCTAGAAAGGGCAAATCAGATAATTAGTGCAAGCCAGGGTCTTTTTTTTTTTAAAAGATTTTATTTATTTGAGAGAGAGAGAACGAGAGACAGAGAGCACAAGAGAGAAGAGGGTCAGAGGGAGAAGCAGACTCCCCGCTGAGCAGGGAGCCCAATGTGGGACTCGATCCCGGGACTCCAGGATCGTGACCTGAGCCGAAGGCTGTCGCTTAACCAACTGAGCCACCCAGGCACCCACAAGCCAGGGTCTTAAAGATAATTCCTTTATATCAAGACAACTTTGCCCTGAGAATCCCTTGAGACCACTGCCAAAAAAAAAAAAAAATGCTCATTTTTTTTTTAGCAATCTTCCTGGCTGCCCTCAAGAGCATTTTATAAACTGTTTTATATGAACTGAAAATCAGAAGAGTTATAAGTAAGATTCTGAGTACAATAGATATATTGAAAGCAATGATTGCTCCATCAAAAGGCCTCACTCATAAGTATGACCTGTCTACACTGCCATCCAGGGAATCAAGGGACAGCCTGTGTCCTTTAATTCCTAAGTAGACCAAGTTCTAGCAATAAATAAAGCCTTATCTCTCTTAGCAGCATCTCTGGCAACCAGTAGAAATTTTGAGTGGCTTGTCCTCTGGGCCATCGGCAATATACGTCACTGAACCAGAAGCAGACACTGAACAACTGATGGAAGTAAATGGTTTGTTAATGTGAATGGATTTTTGAGTTGAGCAAAACTATCAGAACATTCCAGTATTGTTTAGAGAGCTCTGAAAATACTTTTTTCAAAATAAATCTCTATAAATTCTTAGAGTTTTCATTTATATCTTCTAGATTTTCTATTGGTACTCACTAGCTACCTCCTTACATATATCAGCGCAAGTTCAACTAATACAAATAACAATACTTAGAGCACCTTGTTTCTCCTTATATAGCATATCTATATATAATATATGTATTTCACTAGAAGTATAACATATATAGTTATATATATTTAATATATTTATAATAGGTATTGTATGCCTTGTGCCTTGAATATTTCCATTATGCAATGTATCTTGAAATATATACATAGCATATGCTTATTTTTTTAAAGGTTTTATTTATTTGAAAGAGAGAGGGTGCAAGAGAGAACAAGCATGGGCAGGGGGGGAAGGGGAGAGGGAGACAAGCAGACTCCCCAATGAGTGAGGAGCTTGAGCTCCAAGCTGGACTTGATCCTAGGACACTGCGATCATGACCTGAGCTGAAGGCAGACGCTTAACCAAATGAGCCACCCAGGTGCCCCGCATATGCTTATATGCATATAACTATGCCTTATGTAATGAATGGAAATATATAAGCCATGGGAGAAGAGAAATGGAGACTCATGCTTTATATATGACTGTTTAAGCAGCAAAATCACCTCAGTAGTTCTATTTTGCTAAGGTTAATATTACAATAAATGGTAATTTCTTATTTTTTAGCTAAATTTTAAGAACAGCTCTTTCTTACATTTTTGTGAAATATAGCATACATAAATAAAATGAATTAATAAACACCTAAGTCAACTCAACTAAAAATATTTAAGTCCCAATTTCTATTCATGGGGTTAGGGGTTTCCCCCACCACCACGCAATTTTCTAGACACCAACTGGGTGTCCCACACTACAATTCAATTTTGACACTTCCTACCCGGAGACAGCATTAGATTACACAGGTTAAGGGTTCAGTCCTAGAAGACTGCCCCCTACCCTTCAGCAGTCAGCTGCAAACCCAGGTTGTTCCCTGAGCTTCTGACCAACCAGCTACAGATTGGAGATTCCAACAAACCCCTTTCCAACTCAGAATGCCCATCACAAGTCCATGTTATCACCTATACTTCTGACCAACTGGCTATAAATCAGAGGTTCCCAGAACCCCCACCACAGGTCCAATTAATTGGCTAGAATGACTTACAGAACTCAGACAAACATGTTACTTACTAGATCACTGGTTGGTTATAAAACGATATAAGTCAGGAACAGCCAGATGAAAGAGACACAGAGGGCAAGGTATAGAAAGGGCACACAGCTTCCCTGCCCTCTCCAGGGCGCCACTCCCCCAGCACCTCCTCGTGTTCACCAACCTGGAAACCCTCCAAACCCCATCCTTTTGGGTTTTTATGGAGGCTTCATTACGTAGGCATAATTGATGAAATCATGGGCATTGGTGATTAAATTCAATCTTTAGCCCCTCTTCCCTTCCCTGAGGTCTGAGGGTGAGGCTGAAAATTCCAACTCTTAATCACAAGGTTGGCTCTCCTGGCAACCAGCCCCCATCCTTAGGTTACCTAAGGGCTTTCCAAAAGGATATCATTAACACAACAAAAGATATCTTTATGGCTTTTTATCACAGGAAATTCAGAAGGTTTCAGGAGCTGTGAGCCAGGAACCTTGGACAAAAACTAAATAAGTATGAGAAATATATTTTGGTCATTTGAATGACCAAGTATGTATTTCTTATAAATCACAATTTTGCGGTCCACCCCCTGGCCTTCAAACACGGATCCCTTACAGCAAAACAATCATAAAGGTCAAAAGATGCTGGCACATTACTAAAATCTCATTCAGTCATTAATAATTATCCAGCCCGTAATCATATCTTATGAGTATGTCTCCCAGGACAAGGCCACTCAGGTTTGCAGGCTTCTATTCTATCTGGTCAGGTTCCAAAATCAGGAGTGGTATTAGCAATATATGGCTTCACTCTTCCGTGCATCTGCTATACCTGAACCAAGAGGCAATTATCATCTCTCACTCTAAGCCTCTTTTGAGGTGTTAATGCAATACTGGATTTCCCTCATTACATAACCTATTTATTCATTCCCTTCCCATCAGTTACTATTTTTCCTTCTCTCCATTTATACCCAAACTTTTGCTACCTTTAGAAGGGATATTAGGTTCAGCCACTGTGCTGTTCTAGTTAGCAGCAGCAATACTAGTCTACAATCCGCTTGTATTCAGAGAAGGTAAAGTTATGCAGGTACAGAACTAGAGGGCTGTATTTACCATCAGGCAATATAGCTTCATTCACTGTTAGCCCCAGTTTCACCAGAAGGGGTAAAGGCACATGCTGTCCCATCAGGCCCCTAGGAATTGTGACGTAAAGGTTAAAAACAGTTACAGTTCCTGGGAATCATCCCTGCTTCCAGCCCTTCCTGGTCCACTGCATCAAGTAGAGGGGAAAAAGTTGAGGTGATGTGGGAATACCAGCACCACCCCACATTCTCTTCCCCAGCTCCACCAGGAAAACAGAGAAATCTATCTAGTGGAGACACTCCTTTTAGCCACACTCATGCTCATGTCAGTGTGAGCATATACTTGTGAAGGTGTGTAAGCCAGCCCTTCATGCTTTCATCTCCCATTGCTTTAGACAACCGATGTTTTAATTGCCCATTCCCATTCTCTATTAAACTAGTAATATCAGGAGGATAGCTCTCTTCCCATTGTTGGACATTATAGGCTATAAAGTATGTTCCTTGGTCTGAAGAAATGACGCTCAGCAGTCCAAATTAGTGCAATATCTTCTATGCCGATTCTTTTATGGCACTTAGAATATTTGCATCTACCACCAGGTGAGAAAAGCCCAGTCTAGGGTCAGTCTCTATTCCTGTCCAGACCCATTTGTAGCCACCCAGGGCTACTAGCCTTAATCTCCCTTGCCAGCTGTGCTCGGGGCATTCCTACCGCGGAATCTGCCACATAGCCATCTGCACTCTGCACTCTGTCTCTCTTGCTGGCAGACAGAACTGTGCTTGTTGACATTTGGTGCCTCAGAGGGTGCAAAAGGAGTAGGTGTAGATTCAGTCTGTCTCTGCATTGCTGCAGACCCCCAGTGTCCAACTATTTCATGGACCCAGGTAGCTACCTTAAGCGAGCACATGGAAATAGCTGCTTAGCAATTCCAATCAATCACCTTCTAAGCCTGGAAGGGGTTCTTCTGATGGGCATCAACATGGCGTACTTTAACGCACCCCTCAAACTTCCATAGGGCTATGCCCCACATGTGCATCCCTTTTATAAGCCAGATTTCCATTGCTTTCCTCCCTGACCATATGGCCAGACGATTGGCCCCTGCCTATAAGTCAGTAAATAGCCAAACACAGGGCCTTTTCCCACTGTTCAATTCTTCCAGTGCTACTGGGAAAACAGCATGCGATTCAGCCCACCAGGCTGATCTGTTTTTACCTCCTATCAGAGTGGTGGCCTCCCAAACAGGATGTTGTCCGCTCACCCTGGAACTGCCATCCACAAACCAAGCAGCTCTCTGTCTGTTGAGAGCTGTTTTATAGGGCACTGTCCAAGTGATGATAGAATCTGGTGCTTCCTCATGCAGTTCCAGAGTCAGTCCTAAGGGAAAAGAGCCTCCTTGTTAGTGAGTATCCTCCTTGCATTCCCCAGGCAGCATAATCCTGTATAAAACAATGTCCATTTTAATGCGGAACTCTTCTGGGCACTGCCATTCCCCAGTACAGTGTTCCTCTGACATCACCCAAGGCATTGTGGGTATTTCAGGTTTTCAGATCATTTTGTGTTCTTCAGTCATAGAGGCAGCCTCAATTAATAATGTCCAACAGCAAGGTAGTAAACACCACTCACATGGAAATTCTCTAGTCCCAAGTCCCACTGGGGACTTTGTCACTGGGAGGGGCTCACAGATTTTTGCCATAAGCCCATCTATACCCCCACATAAGTCTATCACACAGAGAATCTGTTCCTACCAACACTCTGGCTTCTATTCTACACTGTGTGGGCTCAGGCAATCTGATTCCCATTTAGCATGTCCAATTACTATTGCTCCACGGACAGATTTACATGCCTTCTGTTTTACAATATCACATAGGGGAGGTGTTCCCCAGTCAGATACAGTGTCCATCCCTATAATACAATCAGGTAAAAGAGACACAAACACTTCACATAAAGCCTGTTCAAACATTCCAATTCTCCTACAAACATTTACCTTAATTCCATCAACCCTTACATTCCTAACTGTAGCACCCATTAGGACTTCATCAATAGGTTTGGGTTTTATAATACTAGGTAGGGGAAGTACTCCATAGCCAGACATAATATCCACTCCCATAAAACATTCAGATAAAGTTGACACAACTTCTGTACATAATACCTCCTTAAACATTCCAACTTTTATAATGCTGTCAACACTTATACTTTTACATTCTCTCCGTGTAATTGTAGCCCAGGTCAGGGCTTCACCAATGGGATTTGGTACCCTAGTTTGTAGGGTTACTGTTACCAAAGAGCACTGGTAACTTTTCTTCTCTACCCCCTGACCATTATTTTACTCACTCCTGTGCCCTGGGCAAAAGACCTGGAGTCCTCAGTGAGGGATCCAGCCAAGACACCCTGGCCCTTTTATCAATCCTTTTTTTTTTTTTTTGTAATTAATCTCTCACACACAACATGGGACTCGAACTCACAACAGCAAGATGGAATTGCATGCTCTACGGACTGAGCCAGCCAGGCACGCCATCTTTTTTCAATCTTTATATTGATTAATTGGCCTAACCATTGCCCCAAATGATTGCTGGTCGGATTTTTCATTTTCATTTTTGTCTTCCAGCCTTTTAAAATTCCTCCAAACAGATAAATAAGAGCAGACTTGTTGGTGGCCTTTTACTGCTGGAGGACTTGCAGGGGGTCTCATTGGTCCTCCCAACCTTTGATAGGGCTGTATTAAAACCTTCGTTTTGGGGTGCCTGGGTAGCTCAGTCGTTAAGCATCTGCCTTTGGCTCAGGTCATGATCCCAGGTTCTTGGGATTGGCCCTGCATCGGGCTCCCTGCTCAGAGGGGAGTCTGCTTCTCCCTCTGCCTGCCCCTTCCCACCCTCCCAACCCCTGCTTTTGAGTAATCTCTTTCTTGCTCTCTCTCTCGCTCTCTCACTCTCTCTCAAATAAATAAATAAAATCTAAAAAATAAATAAATAAAACCTTTGTTTTAACCCCATCAAATGTCCATTTTTATTCATCACATTTCTTAACAGCCATCTAAAATTTTCTACCCTGCTGAGATGAGGCCTGTGACTCGCCCTTTTCTGTTTCCTTTCTGTTTTGCCCCTTTATTTTTGAATATTTGCTTTATTTATCTTATTTCTTTTTTTATTGAATTCTAATTGACATACAATATAAGTTTCAGGTGTATAAGACAGTGATTTGCTACTTTTGTACATTATGAAATAATCACTACAATAGGTCTAGTTACCATCTGTCACCATACAAAGTTATTACAATATTATTGACTATATTCCCTATGTTGTATATTACATCCCCATGACTTATTTATTTTATAACTTAGCAGTTTGTACCTCTTAATCCCCTTCAGCTATTTAATTTGACCCCCATTGCCTCTCCTTACTTCTTTCTTCCCCTTATTTCTTTTTTTTTTAAAGATTTATTTATTTATTTGAGAGCGAGAATGAGAGAGAGAGAGTACATGAGAGGGGGGAGAGTCAGAGGGAGAAGCAGGCTCCTCGCTGAGCAGGGAGCCCGATGCGGGACTCGATCCCAGGACTCCGGGATTATGACCTGAGCTGAAGGCAGTCGTTTAACCAACTGAGCCACCCAGGCGCCCTTTTCCCCCTTATTTCTTAACAATGTTTTTGTAGTTTTAAGTTTTTATTTAAATTTATTTAAATTTCAGCTAGCTAACATACAGTGTAATATTAGTTTCAGGTGTAGGATTTTGTGATTCATCACTTACATATAACACCCTTCACCCCTATCACCTATTTCACCCATGCCCCTGTCCACATCCCTTACAGCAACCCTCAATTTGTTCTCTATAGTTAAGAGTCTGTTTCTTGGTTTGCCTCTCTCTTTTCCCCCTCCTGTTCATCTGTTATGTTTCTTAAATTCCACATACGAAATTATATGGTATTTGTCTTTCTCTGACTGACTTATTTCGCTTAGCATAATACTCTCTAGCTCTATCCATGTCATTGTAAATGGCAAGATTTCATTCTTTTCTATGGCTGAGTAACATTCCATTATATAGATGATATAGATATAGATAGATACAGATAGATATATCTGTGATTTATAAGAAATATATATATATACCACAACTATTTTTTTAAGATTTATTTATTTATTTATTTGAGAGAGAGAGAGAATGCACATGCATGTGAGTGAGAGAGGGGCGGAGGGAGAGAATCCCAAGCAGACTCCCCACTGAGTGCAGAGCCCATCATGGGGCTCAGTTCCAGGACCTATGAGATCATGATCTGAACCGAAACCAAGAGTTGGACGCTCAACTGACTGAGCCACCCAAGCGCCCCTATATACCACAACTTCTTTATCCATGCATTAGTTGATGGACATTTGGGCTCTTTCCATATTTTGGCTACTATTGATAATGCTGCTATAAACATCAGGGTGCATACATCCCTTTAAATCAGTAGTTTTGTATCCTTTGTGTAAATGCCAAGTAGTGCAATTGTTTAAAAAATTTCCACCTTGGTGGGGGCTCCTGGGTGGCTCAGTCAGTTGAGCATCAGCCTTCAGCTTGGGTCATGATCTCAGGGTCCTGGGATCAAGCCCTACATTGGGCTCCCTGCTCAGCAGGAAGCCTGCTTCTCCCTCTCCCTCTGTGCTCTCTCTCTCTTTCTCTCTCAAATAAATAAATAAAATCTTTAAAAAATTTTCCTCCTTGGTGGGCAGAGTCCCTTGACTCTCCCCTGGCCTTTCCCATTCCCTTGTTAATTAACCTCATGTTTTTATTAGCATCTGTAAGACCCATGAGTTGAAGCTGAGACAGCAAATTTACTAAGGCTTCCATATCTGTTTTATTTGGTTTTGCAGCAATAGGGTTAAAAGGGGTGCCCAAGTGACAGGGGCCCCATTAACCACAGAAGTTACCATGACCTGGAAAATGGGCATATTCAGTGGGCAAATATCCTGTTCATCATAAAGTCAGTCTCACGTGGCTTGCCTATGAAGCATATTAGCTGATTCATCTGAGGAATTCCACTTGGCATTCATAGGAGGTGATAGAGAGTCCCCCTTCTCAGGGTAAACAGACTTTACAGTGGCTTTTATCCAGTCTACCAGGCTGGCTGTTTCCTCCGGAATAACTTGCTTTGTGTCTGGATCATGCTAGTGTCAAAAACTAAACTCTGAATACTGAATAAAAGCAGAAAGATGAGGGACGCCTGCGTGACTCAGTCGGTTAAGCCGCTGCCTTCAGCTCAGGTCATGATCCCGGGGTCCTGGGATCGAGTCCTGTTTCGGGCTCTCTGCTCAGTGGGGAGCCTGCTTCTCCCTCTGCCTCTCCCCCTGCCTGTACTCACTCTCTCTCTCTCTCTCTGACAAATAAATAAAATCTTTAAAAAAAAAAAAAGCAGAAAGATGAGTTTATTGCAAGGCTTTCAACCTGCAAGCCTGGAAACTCAAGGCTATGGGAACAAGCTCCAAGCTGCTCACAGACTACGGGATTTTTATGGGTTAAATGCAGAAGTTATTTGGCTTTTTCAGCTGATTGGTTAATTAGTGGTCTTCTTCCCTATTTGGCTCAGGGTAGCTGAGTCAGAGAAACAAGGAAGTCCAGAGTTCTTTGTGTGAACAGACTTGACATTTGGGGATTACCTGGCGTCCTCTGCTGATTTCTGAGAAGAGGTGGAAATTCCTATAAGGTTACATTTCCTTTATGCATCTGTGTTGACCATCTCCATTTTGTCCTTGACATAAGTGACTCCAGTTTGGTTCTACAATAGTCCATCTGTGATTGTTCCATAGTCAACTATGTGAGAAATATATTTTGCTCATCTGAATGACCAAATATGTATTTCTTATAAATCACAGTATCGCATCAACCAAATTAAAAAAGATTACTGCTATTGTGCAGAAGCACATCTGTAACCCCTCCATATTATCATTACCCCCTGAAAGAGGTCATTGTCCTAAATTGTATATAACTTTCCCTGCTTTTTTTATGTTTTAACTGTATGTATGCAGTTCCAAACTTTTCAGTATAGTTACAGGTTTTGAATGTTCTATAAATGGAATCACTGTACGTTTCTTTGTGGTCTTGCTTTTTTTCACTCAGCATAATAGCTCTAAGATTCACCTATGTTGTGCTTGGCTGCAGTTAATTCATTTTTATCATTGTATATTATTCCGCAATTTACTTACACATTCTACTGATGGTCATTTGGTTTGTTTCTAGTTTTTGGCAGCTTAGAATAATATTATCATGACTATAAGCATGTATTGATTTAGGGAATATACATAGGAGTAGACTCTCTGAGTCATTGTTATACTTCATTTCCTACTTCATTAGAAAATGTCAAATTATTTTCCAAAGTATGTGTATCAGTTTTTACTCTCACTAAAAG